ATTTACACCCTATAAACGATTTTTTATGGGGAGGTGTTCAACATACAAGGAAAATAGAAAAGGTGATAGGATCGCTCCCTGTAGAACACCGCAGTCGGCACGGAGGACAGCGGGTTTCTTACCGTTCAACTTGGTGAAGTGAGTACGATATGTAAAATAGCCACGAAACAGATTACACGCAAAAGGGTGAACTCCATTTTCGGATAGCAGATTTAACAACATTGACTTATGCAGGCTTTCAAAGGCTTTCGAATAATTCAGGAAGAGAAGATATACTCATTTATCTTTTTGGTCTAATGCAGCGACTATAGAATGAACAAGATATGCCACTGCATCCAAAGTGGAGCGCTGGAGTCTACGCGTAAATTAGTAGATATCTTCTTTAGGAGCGACTGCGAAAATTCGCGGAATTAAAAGTCTTTCGAGAACGTTTAGGAGCACATATGTACATGTAACTGAATGCTATTTTTGAGATCCAGTTTTTGGTACTGGAGTGATAATGACCGTTCTCCAAATTTCCGGGATCACACCCGGCATTTATTAGAGTCATTTATTAGAGAAAGCTGTTGAACGCATTGTGAGAGAATTAGCACACTCATTCAAAGCTAATGCTGAGAGCGCATTCGGACCACAGGCTTTGTTTTCGTTTGATGTTTTGAGTTCCTTGTGAACGTTGATTTGACCTTAGGGCTCTGATCGACTTGAGCTAATAAAGGAGGACAAGGAAGATGAGCTTAGTAAGGCGGAACTAAACTCCGAATTCAGTTTATCCACATCCACTTCATCGCTCTGACTGCAAAATGCTCTCACAACAGAACTGCCTCAGAAGCCTCCATAGATCATGAAGTGATGGTTGCCTAGAAGTGCTTCGACGTATAATTAGTTTAATTTTTTTATCCCGGATTTAATTGCAGTGGTTAGGCTTTTGACACGGGTAGCATTCTTGCACTTGTAGGCACATTCTTTCATCCTTCGAAGTCTCTTTAGTAGTGGTGATGATAATAGATCTGATCTTACGTAGATCGTTCCAACACGGCAGCACATGTCAAAGCGATATTTGATGTAGTCCGTAAGATGGTCACATTCGAGCGACAGGTCCACATTGTTGAAGACCGAAAAATCAGTTAACAGAAACATCGCCTGGAGCATCGTGACCTTTTCCAAGAAGCAATTTCGCCATTTGATAATTTTGTAAGGAGGTCGAGTCAGTGTTAAAAATTAGGCCTGCTGTATACGGTTGACACAGTTTTAAACTACAATGGTCAGAGCCGCTCAAAGGAGCCCGCTTTTTTATGGCAACCAACTGGACATCTTGTCTGGTCGAAACAGTCACCAGGTCTACCAAGACAAGTGTCTTCAAGCAAATTGTATTCTTTCGATTGAAGTCTCCGGCAACAATACAGATAGAACAATCTAATTTAGGCAGCAGCGTTGAATAAAGTTGGTCCTCAAACACTTTAATGCAGATGTGTCAGGAGCAATGTGTACGTTTCCGGCGATGATTGATTGAAAACCACATAAGAAGTTCGGTTTGCATCCAACTAAATGGCAGATTATGGAAACTGTGGAGTACATAAATATTAGGATTGCTGCGTTGCATCAAGGATTAAGGTATGTTATAACGTCACCACCACGAAACTTGGGCTTTCCGGAGCGGTCAGAGCTGATGGGAACATAATCATTGAGTTGAATAACCCTTTTTTCCACATCAGTATGCAACCAGCTTTCTTGTAACAATGAGTCCAGTGTTAAAATTCTCATTTCGTTGCATAATGGCATTGAGATCACAGATTTTACCAAGGAGCGAGCGAACACTACCGGAAAGTATTAGTGAGATTTGCGCATTGTCGACAGAACAACGATTGAGGCCAGATTGCCAGCCAGCAGGATGCTTTCGCTTTTTTCCAAGACATTTACTCCTAATACCTTTGGAGACGTTCCTGACTTTATTGCTGTATTCCATGAATCATGCATTTAAGGTAGTAACATGTAACATTTTGAGATGTTGGACGGAGTAGGACAACCTTGGTCAGGACACGTCAGGTTCCCAGAAAGTTAGAGGCTTCCGCCTAACGAGCCTCCTTCTTCTTGCACCAGCAACCAACCAAGGGCTCCGGTACTTCGACTTTCAATTGTATTTCTTGCTTCTGCAACGAAAACGAAGCAAAAAGAAACAAGGTTGTACTTTCATCCTTCATGAATTCTAGGCAACGAGCATCAATAACTATACAATATTTCTGGAAAATGTTCTAACCAACATTTGTCCAGACCTCTCTTGAAGGCGTCAACCGTTGTACAGTTCATCATCGAAGGGGTAAGCTTGTTCCAACTCCCGATAACGCGGTTCGCAAAGTATTCTCCCTGATATCTAGTCGAGACCTCCGATGCATGAGTTTAAGATGACTGACCTTGAGAATGGATCAGAAAAAAGAAATTGCCTCAAAGTTAAAAATAAACTATAGAATACACAGTCGGTATTGTAAAATAATCCGACGAGAACAGCAACGGCCAAATTTGATGGTCACCGTCAATAGATGTGTTTTGTGTGTTCCGTCCGTGCGTCATACGGTCACCGATAAGGCGTCTGTGGTAGACACTTACGGTGCTGGACTGGTTGATTGATGTCACTGGCTGCAAGCAGAAGCGACAGAAGTTGACCGTTGCTTCACAGTAGAAGTTAGTTTCCTCTGTAAGTATGCCACACATTGATGAAATGAAACGAGTAAATGCTTGATGGAAAGCTTGGAAACTCATCTATCGAAAGAGGTCAAAATTCTGAGTGTGATCTTAACTGCGCGCAATTTTACACTTGAGTAAGGGCGAAATATTGCGCAAATTTTTGTCCGGTGGAAATAGTTCCCGCTGTAAATATGCCAGAGAAAATGCTTCAGTAGATGGCGCTTGTCAAGCCGAAAGGAAAAAGTGCAAATCCGGCTATGTGCGACAAAATATCAAGCAAAAATCGTGAAAATACGTGGGCACGATTTGGAGCGGTCTGCGTCACCGTCATATAGTAGGGTCATACTTGCTAACAGAAGCTGTATACATGTTTTTTCCAAGGCATCGACTAAGTGTCTTCAATCTCTGGCTGATAGTAGTCAGCCCTTTCATCAGTTGACCTTTTAGTCGGCCGGATAGCACAAATTCTACCAAATTACGTTACGAGGGTTGTTCAAAAACGTCTGAGCCAGATCACGAAGGATGATGATAATTACTGCCAAGAGGTATCTGATCATGCCGTATCTTCATCAACCGATTGTACAACGTTGCCAGCTAATCATAGTTAACTTATGTTATTAGGTTCAAGAGTATGGTGGTGACGATTCGAATCGTAACCTAAATAAATTGCACGAGACGAGATAGCAAAGCTATAGGCTAGTGCATTTGAGTCATGCGCGCGATCTGGGCAGAGGAAATAAAACTTAAATTCCTGTAATGGTGGTTCCTTAATTCTACCTAACTACTCTGAGCAACTTACGAATATGTTTGCAATCGTAATGAAAAAGCTCCGACAATTGAGAACGTGCGGCAACGTTACGGTGTACTTGTTCGCTAACCGGAGTCCGTCAAAGGTGGAATATTGGACGTTGATTAGTCATGGACATGCCAATGGTGTGAAGTAAAAATAAGCTTTTAATAATGCAGTTGGTCGAAGAGCATATGTGTATAATTAAGTATGAAAGCATAAGTAGGTTTGGAACCAGGAATACCGTGTCGTTAACTAAGCAATTCGGTTTCGCTGAAGAATTAGTTAAATTTGGACGTTACAGGTACCTTACAGCACCGGGTTTGAATAGCATTTTTAGCCCTATAGAATATTCAACTGTACGAGGTCCATGTACACACGACAAATGTATATTATATTCACTTCGTATGCAACGGTCAAACGTTGGACTTTTAAGTGTCACCGAGGTAGGGCATCGATCCTAGATGAGTGCCAGTCAGGATGAGCTATGGAGACAACCTCCAAATAAACGTTACTGCCGGGGGCATATGGTGGTGCAAAATTGATAAACGACTGTGTGCAAAGTATTGTATTTAAGTAGGGTTTAGTTTATTGACTATAGAAAGCTCGTTTCTGTGCATTTGAATAAGGCAAGAGAGTTCGCGTAATGGCAAGCCAAGTATACCACTTTGGAAAGTAAGGAAAACAGTATCCCGTGTTCAGAAGAAAATTTTAAATTAATGTACAAAGAATAGGTCCAGTTTAACCGACAACTGGTGACGAACGAGGACTGGATGCACCATTACAATTGTGAGACAAAAGTGTAACGAAAGCACTGGATGTAGCAGTATACTCCGTTGCTAGGGAAATCCAACGTTCATTACATGTTTGACAATATAATGTACACAGGTTTTTCTAACGATTGTGGCATAGTCATAATTAAGTATATGTCAGCATCGGTCTGTTAAACCGATTCGATCCGACGACTGACAGTTTTAGTAAAGAAAAATGCGGAGAAATGTTAAAAGCTGGTGTTGAATGTCCGTAGGATAATGCACTTGCTCACACAGCTGCGATTTAAACAACTGGTATTCGCAAATATATTTATCAGCAAACTTCATGCAGTCTCATGTCTCAGTGTAGTCCCATGTGAGGTACGTCAGAGTCGAAAACTGATGTTCTTTCCAAAAGGCAATTACTTAGCTTCAGACGAAGGACGTAAGGGACCGTATTAAGCTGGTTGATGGGGCGATAAATACGCAAAAGTATTCCATGCATTTCTACTTGAATGGTATTTCAGTTAGAGGTACTTATGGTGAATAGTAAAATGATGGTTATTTTGATTTCTGCCTGGCTGTTATCGAAAGCTCCTCGTATGCCGGCACCACTTTTGTTATTGATTCAACATGGTGGTCACCAAAAAGAGCCATTGTATTTTCTTTGACCGTTGAATTGTAGCCTTCCGTCTCTTATTCATTATGCCCATAGTTTATGGTCAGCATTCCAATTACTCTCTTTTGTTATTCAAGTTAACAAGCCTGGATTTCTCCCGACTATGTCAAACGAATTCTACGGTTCTGGGGAATATGATTCCCCCCGAAAAGGGCGACCATCGATGGTTTCAGCGAAACAGGACTTGATGCAATGGTTTCGAACGCATATGGAACGTGGACTTTTGATGCTGCAGTTGTTTTATTTCTTCTTTTACGCCGCGTTCGGTTCACTCTTCCCACTTATTTCCATCTATTTCAAACAACTCGGGATGAGTCCTACGCAATGTGGCATAATCAGCGCAGTCCGGTCTCTAATGGAATTGCTTGCCACCCCGTTTTGGAACGCTCTGGCGGAAAAGTGGAAAAAGGGAAAGGCAATTTTGATAGCCAGTTTAATCGGATCAATGTCGTTCACTTTAGGACTTGGATTCGTACGACCTGCTCCAGAAGGATGCCTAGTGAGATTGCCGCAGTATGGGAACTACAATCAAAGCCTAGATAAGCCACCTCTGATGATCGTGGAACCGTATCGCTCACTGAAATATGATAGCTTCCGCTCAGTCGATATGACTCGCGCATTAGCGTTAAACTTGAAAAACAGAATCGGACAATCCCCTCTCTATCTTAACACAAAACTCCTGTCGGAACCTTCAGAGTTGCTTCGAAACAAATTGTTCGATAAGACGATACTTACGAAATCTATCGCTTTTACCGATCCATCGCATTATCCTACTAGAACTTTGGTAATGCCGCTGTACTCCACGGTTGTCTACTTACAGACAAAAGTCGATCAAATTTTCATTTTGATCATCATATTGGTGTTGTTCGGAGAACTTTTTTCTTGCCCTGCCCTTCCACTTGTCGACGCCTTGGTGGCACAGAAAACGCGCGTTCGACCAAGCGCCTTGTACGGTCAACAACGTATATCTGGTTCCATCGGTTGGGGGCTTGCTATGTTTTTTATCGGATTGGCACTGGACAATGCGAGTAGTTTTCCTGATTATCCCTGCTTGCAACCTGGTAAAAGAGAGAAAAACTACATGGTATGCTTCGCCACTTATTCTGTTTTCATGGCATTCGCTATGTTCACATCCACACAGTTCTCTTTCGTCTACGAGGGTGGCCAAGAGAGCATGTACTACAAGGTAGTCAAGGACAAATTGGCCAGAACGTTGCTGGGACGTACAACGAAGAACCGTTCCAGACTCGTCAACGAACCGGAGTCAGAGGAGACAGTACAAGACCAAAAGGAGAATGACCATGCGAATCCGAGCGCCACAAGTGAGCACATACTTGAACAGCAACTGGGAATAAAATTGGACAATACCGCGGCCGTGAAGTTACAATCGCAACCCAGTGATGCTGAGAATTTCCAAAACGGATTAGTATTCACTACTCAACTAAAGGTAAGCCTAAAGCTTATTTGGGAATGTACAGCTACTGAAATAATTATCCATTTTCGCACCTGCTTATCTTGCGTGAGTTCATAGGCTACATTAGTTGCTAATTTCGAAGATCTTGTTCTTTGTATATAAACCACTGCCACTGTTGCTAACGCGGCGCAATGCGGATGAGTTGTGTATTGTACAGTGCTCATCTGGATGGCATAATAGCTCAAACAGTTCATTCGGATGTTTTGGGCAATTTGCAAATGTTTGTTCCCACTGCATCGTTAGGCACATACGCAGCACTCTTTTGGTTACAGTCCAAATTTTCCTTGGAGTTGGGGAAAGCGGTGAAGGGGAACGGGGATGTGAACATGGCAGCAACATGAGCCGGAACATCCTCGGGTCATCGCCATTTGATGCGCAGACATTTGCGTCGGTAGCCTATCGCCTATTAGTGGGACAAACTATTTTACTCAATGTAAGCGCCAATAGATAAAACAGTGCACCCTATAAGCTTTACTGGCCACTTGATACCCTGGGCAAAAGCAGTAGAACTCGCTATGGCAGAAAACGTGAAAAGTGAGTTTCTAACAGCAATTTCAAATGGACAGAAATGCTTCACGACTAGGTTTGTAGACCTAGTCTAGCCTTGCTCTGCAATCAGCCAACAGTTCCAACAGCCTGTCCTTCGTGTCAGCGATAAGCTGAGCAGCGCTTCAGCGGTGAAGCACTTGATAACAATTCACAAAGACGGTGTCACATTTAACCAAATGGGTGCTGACAGATAGACGTCTTTTTCGTGTTTTATATTTCAGGGGGCCGTGCACAAAGAGAACAGGGTAGTGGAAAGTAAAATACCTACATGCTGACGAGTAGTAAAGGAAGGATGAAAACTTGCATATCTGCAATTTATCAATCTGCCATTCACACTGACTCGCTTAATCTAGAGACGCATGCTTTACGCTATTGAAGTCCAAATTACATTCAGTAGAAAGGACCTAGCGCATTAGTCACAGGTTGTGTAGCAGTTCCACTCAAGACGGCCAGTGGCCTAACAACTACTGCTGTGGATGTCGCGAACGCTCTACTCCTACAGTTTGGCTCGGTAACTACAAATACCATGGGACTTTCGCCCTACCAACTCCCAACAAATGTCGTTGGCTTATCCAGCGTCACCTTTACTCCAGCAGCTGTTGCAAGCAAATTACAGTCTCTCCGGGAGTACCGTGCCCCTGGAATCGACATAATCTCTCCAAAAGTACTGAAAACCCTTGCTCTCACCATAGCTTCACCACTTGCAACCATTTTCCAGGGTCTGCTTAACTTCCATCTGAGTGGAAACATGGAATTATCACTGCAGTATACAAAGAAAGTAAGCGATTGGATCCTGCAAACTACCGAACTATTACTCTCCTTTCTGTTTAATCAAAAGTGATGGAATCGGTAATCGCAGAATAGCTGACGCGATACTTTAATTTCTAACGTCCAACATGGTTTCAGACGCAGACGATCTTGTCTGCCCAATGCGCTGATTACTCGTGACTCATGGAGCAGGGCGGCTGATAAAGGAGTCCTCATAGATGTGATTTACTTGATTTTTCTAAAGCATTCGACAGGATCAATCAGTTCTTTCTCCTCCAAACGCTTGCTGCCTACGATATTAACGGTACCCTGTCCACCTGCTTAGAAGACTACTTACACGACAGAGCAATCAAGGTAAGAGTAGCAGACACTCACTCTGCAAGCCTGTGCGTCTCCACTAGGATGCCACAAGGGTCCGTGCTCGACCAGCTACTGTTTTTACTCTACATTAATGACCTTCCTGCAGACATTCTTTCTCCGGTGCAAATATTTTCAGGCGATGTTAAAATATGGAGAGCAATTCGCTCAGCATCCGACCATGTCTACCTCCAGGAAGATGTGACTCGGATTAGCGAATTGGCGGAAAGGAACCAGCTCCCACTGAACGCTGCAAAGTGCCACCTGCTGACGGTGTGCAGTAGCTACGTCAACACATAACTTTTGGGGCAACACGTTCTGCAACACGTGACTAGTGAACGGGACTTAGGTATAATCGTGCAAGAGAGTCTTGGCAATTCGCTTCAATGTTCGAAAGCAGCAAATGTGGCGAACTTGAAATTGGGACTTTTGAGGTGAGCTCTCGGCACCTTTGAGCGACGGCTAGTGCCAATGCTTATTAACTCCTATGTTAGCTCTCACTTTGAATATGCAATTCAGGCCTGGTGTCCATGGTTAAAAGGAGACTTTTGCCTATTGGAACAACCCCGTAGAAGAGTCACAAAGGCAATGCGTGGACTATCCGGTCGAAGTTACTAAGCGCGTCTTCGTGTACTCGGTGTGTTTCCCTCAATACTGATGGCTTAGCGGAGATCTCACTCTCACATGCCGGATACTAACTGAAAGCGAGCATTCATGTGCATCACTGCTGACCCTAGCCCCTTACAAACAAAGCCGAGGCAACCACCTAAAACTGGTGACGCAACACTTCCGTCTAAATTGTAGAAAGTGTTTTTACTCACTTAGCATCTGTTCTCACTGGAATGCATTACCAAGGTATGTGGTAAACGCACCAGACATGACGACATTCGAAAAACTCTAAATTTTTATCTTATGGATAAACTCTATACAACAGTTTGATGAATTGCAATGGTTTAGCCACTGAGACTTCACGCTCCAGGTTGGAACATTTTGATTTTAAGTTTCTTTTGCATATCCATCCTGTAGGTCTCGTGAAGTTGTATTTTGTATCCCATCATACACTATTGAATTTTGAACCACTTTACGCTTGGTATACCATTGGAGATATCTGGCTGCGTACAGAGTCAGGTTAAACCCAGAACTATGCCATATATACGTTGCATCGGTAGGATGACATTTGATGCCCGTTCTTGGCTATACTCAGAATTCGTTGTGCTCTCCCATGGTTCATGAGGCATCCGTTTAGTGTATTACCATCAATGTCAACTTTTGTCATCGTTTCATTAAATACTAACACTTATGTCTTCGAAATCTCGTACTTGGTAGCTAATTTTAAAATATGGGAGTTACCATATGCATAACAATTGAACGTATATCGCTACGTCTGGTGTAGAAGAACGTAGAGTCCACTGGGATGATGGGAATGGAGTTGAGAAGACTACATTGGAAATTGTTTATTTATGTCCTAACGTACGATAACTTGTAGAAGCTCCTTTCGAATCCCTTTACGTTATAGGGTTATCGTTAACTGGTACACAGTTCTCATCGCAATCAGCATCCCTTGGAAGAAACTACAGGGAACATAGCTGAGTGATGAAGATAGTTTCCTTTCTCGTGTTCCGGAGGGATATGGAGCCTGTAATTGCGTTTTTTACCCACTGTTGTTGTTGCTCTGTAGAGCAGCGCACTTCTTTAATCCAAAATAGCTGTCTAGGGACTTCAGGGGGTCGGTTGGTTCGCGTTAATAATAATGTTGGTTAACACTGCAATGTCCACCGCTGATTACAACCGAATGGAACTGGTTAGAAGGCCTGACGGTGCGAGTAAAATCTTCCTTCAAAAGGGTGAAATAACCTCCTGCATTGACTGGCAACATCACACCAGTAAAATGCGACATTAGCTCGGAACAGACCACTGCATAACGTGTGTTACGGATGCACAAGAGAGTAAACACTTGCGTGTTCACGGTTCAGATGAGTAATTTAAGAACCAAAACCGACATTTGGCACTGATCACCTAAGCGTACAATAGGATGTTACGTTTCAGATTCAATTTTGCACAGCCAACTCAGATAAATCGGATAAGTCTGTTTTTGTTTCATGCATGTCCTTCCCCCTGGTGAATTGTGTGCGCTCGCAATCTACCGCATATCCCGAAAGTGCATGCGGTGACGTCTGAGCGCGGTCTGTCGGAGGCCAGAATTTTAAATAAAGTATTTCTGTACCGAGATCTTGATCAGATCGGAGTACGCTGCTTGCATATCAAGATATGGGCAAGCCGATGTTGTCGCTCAATTATCCACGAAGCACTATCGACAGACGTAAATCTTGACTAGTGAATGTTCTACAACGAACAGCCTACCCGTTAATCTATTGACCAGCCCAGTTGTGAAATTCAGCCTAGTATTCCGTCCTGCAGGAAGCCGTAGCAGATGTATGCACAAGCACTCTCGGCTATATGATCAAATCTTATGCCATGCATTAGCTTAGACCGATGACTTAGTGGTCACTGTGGACTAACCGGACACTGTGTAAAGTACCGCTCGTTGTACACGACCCTCCAAACTATACAACGCTTGGCCCACCACATATGATCACAAAGTATTTGCTGCCGTTTAAAAGGCTGGGCTCCGATCTGTCATCAACGCAGCCGGAGCTGACAAATACATCATTCAAATCCCTCCTTTTACCAATACTCTACTGTCACCGGACAAGCAGGTTTGCATTAACAGTGAGTAATAAATCATTACTGTGATCAACGTCCAAACTTCTAATGTTACTTCCGCTGATTCCCTCCGTGTCCACCATCCAAAACTAGTGGTGTGCTGAATTTTCCACTTGAACCTGGTCAGCGGTTGAGATACAGCATTTTGATCAGTTATCCATGGACATCTATGACTTGGTAGGTTTCGGACGAGCATGGTTTTAAGGGGATTAGGCCAGTAATGGAAAATGCAAATGACTTATGCAAGCAATTTCATGGAAAGGAGCGATACGATAAACAAAATCTGCTAGCAAGCAGGCAGGTTTTAGAGAATAGAAGAAGCGATTCGAAGTTACAGGCCTTATAGTTACTGCCGAGTTAATTTTCAATGCGATATTTCAGGTAACTTGTTCCAAGAATGGTGTATGGACACCTCTTGTGTAGATACTGAAATTTATGGATATATTCATGAATTTCCATTTGCATGTCAAACGAAAAGGCAGGCTTAACTTGACACACCTGCCACGATCATCGTATATTCGCATGCTGAATACTGTATTGTAGTGCAAGTAAAAATGAATTCTGTACAACTCTTT